ATTTAAACATTAAAATAATTTTAAGTATTTTAAATAATATAAGTTCTTATATTCCTAGTTTGATTAGTCATCAGCATTTGATACATTTTCTTAGAATTAAATTTATTTAAATTTCTCCTCCTGTTATTCCAATTCAAATACCTGGTCATCATCCTGTGGATTCAAATTACAACTCATGAACCAAAAAGGAGCCAATTCTAAAATTCTGAATTTCACTCAATTTAGATTAGAGTATAACAGAATATTTTTTTATGAATAAATATGAATATGTATATATGTGTGTGTGTGTACATACAGTGGTCACAGTGCTGGAGTCGGTGGTAGTTTGCAGGTTAAAGCAGGTCTGATTGCAATCAGTTTCTATGATGAGGCTTGTGAAAGGCTAATTATCATAATGACTGAGTTTACTCTATAAATGTTCATTCAGCAGCCTGCGATCATAATCATCAACATAATCACAACCTTCGCCAATTCTGTTTTGTTGGCCCTCATTCCATCTCCAAGGTGACCCTGACACGTATGCATGCACACACACACACACACGCGCGCGCACACACACACGCGCACACATGCACGCACACGCACACGCACACACAGTCAGTATGAAATTGACCCTATTTACTTACTACCGAAGTCTTAAGATGTATCGTACAATTAATGTCAGTGTTTTGGGGCTTTTTTTTGCAAGATGCTTTTAGGTAAAAGGCTTAATATTCAATCTGTAATGCCTCCAATTAGTCAGCTCAGCTCTATTATCAGCTTCACTTTTGGTTCGCATCTTCAAATCTTGCTCTGAGCCGCTTAGAGAAAATGTAACTACGTTTAGTTCAAATCCCTGAGCACAGCTGCACCTTTTAGCTAGTTAATGGGCTTTTCGGTTACACATATTACATTTACCAACATAAACCGGTGTCATAGCTGGAGCAGTGATTTGGTGTTTTGTTGTTTACGGAGACATGCAGACATTTAGTGGCTTGATCCTTCACTTAAATGAGGAGGCTCTTCTTTTTTTTCTATTAAATGTTGGAGATTGATGATTTGGCTCCTTTGTGGTTTGTCCTGAAATCCCCTGTAGGTGATGAGAGTGGCTGCTTTTGTAATTAGTTCTGCTTGCAGAAAATTGGGTCAGTAATTAGCAAGTGGGGGAGGCTTCAGATTTATTTATTTATGCATTAATTTGTGCATTTATGCATTTATCTATATTATTATGCTTTTGTCCATCTATGCTTTTTATGCATTTATGTATCTATACAGTTATGCGTTTATTTATGAATGTATTTTTTCTTTATGCTTTTATCTATTTTTTCAATTATCTATTTTTGCAATTATTAATGAATGTTTTTTTTTTATTTGTGCATGCATTCATTTATTTATTTATGCATTCACACATTTATCCATACATTTATGAATGTATTAATTTGTGCTTTTATTCATGTATTTGCCCATTTATTTGTGTTATAAATGTTTTTTTTTTTTTTATGTGGCGTTATATTGGAAATTTGATGAAGATACTAAAAGGAAAGATTCAAAAAGAAACGTTAGTGTTCTCAACTCTCTGAATGCAAATAGATGCAAATTACAGTTGAATAAAGGAATGGAAATGGATGCTGATTTTTAACACTCTGTGTTAAGACTTGCACGGCAGGTCTGTTCAGGCTGGTGATGAGTGAACTGTGTGCAGAGACTTGAGGTATAAATTGATTTTCTCCTTTTAAAATGGCCTTCCGGGGCTCTATCTTGGAGCTAATTTAGCCCTAAGAGCTAATTTTAGAGTCTTCTTCATCCTGATTGAGGTTCCAATGGTTCTACTTTACCTGCTGAACTGATGATCTTTCAGCTCGGTGGTGCTTTGTTGCAGTTTGTTGGATTGAGAACACTGAAAGGATACCGTTTACAGCTTGCTCTGACAAGAACAACACACTTCATGAGACCATCTGACTGTAACACCGTTCTTGAATGAATTGGATTAGAATAGATTGAACCACGCTGCTCCAGGCTGGGCCGGATTGACTGGTTTATCAGAAAGTGTTGAAAACGAAAAAAATAAAAAGAATAATAAATTTAAATCGGTTCACTCCAAGAAGAATCGATATTTTAACGTTTCTGTTCCTGCGTTCCTCTGTATTATTATCATTCCGAAACCGGTTTGAGTAGAAAAAATAACGGTTAATAACATTATTTTTAAAAACTTTTTCTTCGTCTATAATAATTGTTAAAAACTGCCATTTATAAAATTGTGATTTGAGAGGAAAAGAAACATAAGTCGCATAAGCTCACGTCATATTTTATTATTACATTGAGAAATAATGTAGCCTAGGCTAAAATGTGAATAAAGCAAAATGTTTACAAACATTATAAACAGCATATACGTATATATGATAAATACAGTTATTAGTTTCCTTTTCTCCACAACAAATTCTCTAAAGTTAGGCTATGTGTTTAAAAACACCGATCCAAAAACAAATACAGAGTTCTGGCATGAAACTCTAGATGGCGCAGTCCGATAGGTCTAACTCAATCTGACCTAATGACATCATTATCACATGGCACAGCTGATTGGTTCTCTCCTGTATCGGTAGCCAATGAGCTCGCTGCTCAACATTCAAATATATGACTAGTGTTTGCCGCAGCAGTTGCAGCTTGCTTTAGAAACCCTCCACCTTCCCCAGCTCCACCTGTATAGATCTGCTACGAGGTGATTCATGTATGCTATATGGGGGTTATTTCATGTACAGTATGTTATATTTGCAGCAGCAGTATTTCTTACATGCTCACAGCAGCATGTTGTGGATGTATTGGCAGTAGCAAGTCTCGGTACTTGCTCTGCCGCAGCAGCAGCGTAGCAGATCTATTCCGCCAAGACCAAATACATTAACATTGTCATGTACATTACCATGCCAATCCCTCCGAGAGTTGTCATGACAGAAATTAATTTAAGGTGAAACTGATGCCTACCTCTCTCATTTGGCATGAATCCAAATGTTTCCATATTCACGACATATCTGGATACTAAAATATTATTTATTATAGGCTTTGTACTTCACTCGCATTGACGCAAACATCATCTTTCGCATCGGCTAAGTAAACAGCACAGTGAGGCGATGGTCACACTGAACACAACAGATTGTACAACGGAGCAGTGTTACTTTTTATATGTTTCTTTAACTTTTTCATTTTATGTATTTTCATTTGATAATGAACAGGCTGCAATGTCTCAAATATATGTTGTGTCTGTGTGCGTGTGAGGCGCCGGCGCGATCATACCAACGCTGGTTGGTCATACAGATAGAAGCAAGACATCATTCAAAACTGTCGCGCTTTTGCAAAATAAATAAAACTGTAAAATAAATAAAACTGTAAAGCTTTTGCAAAATAATGAAAACTAGCTACTTTCTGCTGTCTTGTTTTCCTTTCCATGAACTTTGGATCGTGTCACAATAAACCAAAACTCAGCACATATTTTTCTTTCGTTTTTGTTAATCTGTCAATGATTAAGTGAAATATATTTTGTTTATAGGCCAATATAGGCTATTCCTTTTATGTATCAAAGTATGGTCAAATTATACACTCAGTGAGGTCAAAAGTCAGGGCGCACATTCTGTGAGGTCAGAAGTCACAGCACACACTTGGCGATGTCAGAGGTCAGAACACATTTAGTAGGGTCAGGAGTCACAGAATATTCTCTGTGAGGTCAGAGGTCAAAATCATTCAGTAGGGTCTGAGGTCACAGCACAATGTTGGCAACGCCAAAATACACACTCAGTGAGGTCACGTCACAAACACTTAGTTGAGGTCACAGCATGTATTTGGTGAGATCAGAGGTCAAAATAGACACTTTGTGAGGTCAAAAGTCAAAACACACATTCAGTTCCGTCAGAGGTCAGTGCACACACTCTGTGAGGTCAGAGGTCAAACACACTCTGTGAGGTCAAAGGTCAAACACACTCTGTATGATGTCAGAGGTCAAACACATTCTTTGTAAGGTCAGAGATGAAAAAAACACTAAATTTTCTGTGAGGTCAGTGGTCAAACACTCTCTGCGAGGTCAGATATAAAAAAAATTAAACTGAGTTTTGAGGTCAAACACACACTGTGAGGTCAGAGGTCAAACACACTATGTGAGGTCAGAGGTTAGACGCTCTCTGTGAGGTCAGAAGTCAAACACATTCTCTGTGAGGTCAGAGGTCAAACATATTCTTTGTGAGGTCAGAGGACAAAGACACTGTATGTGAGGTCCGAGGTCAAACACTGTCTGTGAGGTCAGCGGTCAAACACACTCTGTGAGGTCGGAGGTCAAACAGTCTCTGTGAAGTCAGAGATCAAACACTCTGTGAGGTCGGAGGTCAAACACACTCTCTGTGAGGTCAGAGGTCAAACACTCTCTGTGAGGTCGGCGGTCAAACACTCTCTGTGATGTCAGAGGTCAAACACACCCTCTGAGAGGTCAGAGGTCAAAGACACTGTATGTGAGGTCCGAGGTCAAACACACGCTCTGTGAGGTCAGAGGTCAAACACTCTCTGTGAGGTCGGCAGTCAAACACACTCTGTGAGGTCAGAGGTCAAACACACCCTCTGAGAGGTCAGAGGTCAAAGACACTGTATGTGAGGTCCGAGGTCAAACACTGTCTGTGAGGTCAGCGGCCAAACACACTCTGTGAGGTCGGAGGTCAAACAGTCTCTGTGAAGTCAGAGATCAAACACTCTCTGTGAGGTCGGAGGTCAAACACACTCTCTGTGAGGTCAGAGGTCAAACACTCTCTGTGAGGTCGGAGGTCAAACACACTCTGTGAAGTCAGAGATCAAACACTCTGTGAGGTCGGAGGTCAAACACTCTGTATGTAAAGGTCAGAGGTCAAACACACTCTGTCAGTTGATGTTGTTGGTGTGTGTGTCTCTTTGGAGTCTGATGTCGGTGTTCTGTCCACTGCTCCTGTCTCTCATCTCTGTGCTGTTGTCTCTTCTCTTTCTCTCTGTGTTGTGTTTATCTCTTGACTGTGAAGTTGAGCCCTACTGCAGTGGAGGATGACAGCAAGCTGTCGGTAAGTATTGTCCATAGTCTGTGTGTCGGTCTGTTTACTCGTGTTTGTGCTGTGTTGTAAAGCATGACGTTTATTAAATGAAACCCTGTGATCCACAATAGAAGAAAGAGCCACTCCTGAGAGTTTATTATTATTGTTTTAAATATATTTCGAGACAAATAATAGAAGGATAAGATAAATGAATGGATGGATAAATACATACCCACCCAAAAAGAATATGACAGACAGACGGATGTGTTGATGGATAGAAGGAGAGAGAGAGAGAGAGATGGCACCTTGACATCTGCCAGCACTGATCCCTGATCCTCAGAGCAATTTACTCAGCGTTTGTCTCAGCACAACACACACACACACACACACCCGACACCTGTATGATTGTGTTCATCAGCAGCTGACTCTTCAGATTGCACTGACATGTTTCCATAGCATCAGCTGCTCTGAAGACATATTAAGCCCGCTCTTAACCCTTGACCCCAGTCACCCTGACCTCTGATGGGTCAGGACAGGGCCGTCCTTAGCTGACGCCAGTGCGAGGTAGGCAGCGGGGCCCCCCTCGGTCCGCGGGGCCCAGTGCGACTGCACCAGTTGCACCCCCCTAAGGACAGCCCTGGGTCAGGACTTCCAGACCGCTTTGATTGACGTGTTTATCCTCCTATCACAGGTCAAACCCCGACTGCAGAGAGGAGGAAGCTCCGCCTCTTTACACAACAGCCTAATGAGGAACAGCATCTTTCATCTGATGATCCACACACTCGACCCTCTCAGTGAAGGTAACACACACACACACAGACACACACACACACACACTCCATCCACATTGAGTAGGAGCAGAATAGTGTTCTAAATTATTTAAACTTAATATTAAACCATACATTTAAGGTTTTGGTCTCATTTGTAATATTTCTCATGTGGTACAGTACTAAAACCATAATAAGCATATTCAAGTGAATTTGTCAAATCCCGTGAAGACATGCCATATTCCAACACAAAATAAAAATATAATGAATGAATAAACGAAATGACAATTAAATATAATACATTTTTAAAAAGAGCTTTTTGATTTAATAAAGAAAAAATATGCCTATTAAATGTGTATTTAAATTTACTACATATCTACTCTGTAAATATATTATTTGAATATACAGTTAGGTCCATATATATTTGTACATAGGCACATTTTTTATTATTTTAGCTGTTGACCAAAACATATTCAAGTTACAGTTATATAATGAATATGGGTTTGTGTCCTGCTGGAGCTGGCGATGTGATTTGCGTCAGTTATTTTGTAGAGCATAAACACGAGCGACATCTGCGTGGGAACTTTTTAGCTCTTGTGCAAAACTCCCAATCACAGAGATTCCTATTGAAATGACTGGATTTCACCTGTAAAAATGTGCTTAGTAATGATAAATGTAACCGCATTTTAGGAGTAGATGTGTGGCTGCCATGGCTAGTGTTAATGTGGTATAATTAAGATAAGTTTTGATGAATATTTTGAATTTGTTTTTATTTTTCTGTTTTAATTTTAAAGTTTTAGTCATTTTGTTGTGATTTATCATTTGCATACGTTTTTTTTAAAGCTATAATATTTTTTATAAATTTGAATTTTTTTTTTAAATGTATTTTAGTTATTCGTTTAATTTATCAAGTAAATTAATTTAAATGAAACATGTTTTTTTGTTTAATTTAATTTCAATTATTTTAAATGTATTTTAATTTAAGTAACACAAGTTTATTTATAAAGAAGGTGTGCATGTACACCAGAAAGAGACTGTTAACATAAAGTAAACCTGTGAAAATGACAGCAGTATCGCATCAGCAGAACACTCCTCACACGTTTATCACGTGTTCACACGTGGGTTACTCTGGTAAATTCACACATTCATCACACGTGGGCTATGCTGTTAAATCAAACCTCTGCTGCTGTTTATGCATTCACACAATTGTCAGCCTTTGTTATGCTAACAGTTTCAGTGTAAAATCTGTCTAAAACCAGCTAAAGCGATTGTTTAATTAAAGATGATGATTCTGTATGATACTGCATGCATGCATTTCTACTGTGCAAACCAAAACAAAGCAAAACAAAAAAAATATTTGTAAGAATTTGACCTGCACATTTGATGGCTATTTGAACAGTAGCACATCTCATCTTTGTATTCTCTACATGGCTTTGCTGTAGAGCTAAAATTTTTTTCCTGCTTAGACTATTTTTCATCTCTCTCTCTCTCTCTCTCTCTCTCTCTCTGTGTGTGTCTCTGTCTGCTGTTTCCTCAGAATTCGTTGACTCTGGTGAGTTATTCTCTAAATCTCATTGTCATCACAGTCCCAGCTGAAGCCGCTCGTCCTGCTGTCTGTATCTGTTTATTCACAGCATTCAGAGACACTGGATGCTGTTAGTTTCTTTCAGGTTTCCATGTGTGTTTGTCACTTTTCATTGTGTGTTTTTCCTTGCTAAAGCTCGATCTCGTGTAACCCATAACCCTGATATCTTGTGTTGCTCATTCACATACAGTATGTGTAAATAATGACTTGAATCGCTCACAACAACCTGCACTGATATATGCATTTTTGTAGATGCATAAACAAAAAAATGATGGCTGATTGATTTCATATAAATTTTTTTTAGATTTTTTTTTTAAATATGTTTTCTCCCAAGCACTGTTTACTGTTTCTCCTAGCTTTTATCAGTTAGTTTAATCTATTTTTTTTAGCAAAAAGTAGTGTAATTAAATTAGTCAGATTAGTTACAGACTTATACATTACAAATATCTTACTATTTTTACATTTTATATTATTATTTTAATATCTTCAGACCGTATAGTCACAGTATTTGAAAATGTCATAATATATATATATATATATATATATATATAAATGGCTGCAATATAACAAAGAGTGAAAAATTGAAGGGGGTCTGAATACTTTCCGTACCCACTGTATATATATATAGAGAGAGTGTCTTTTTTAGAATATTTATATATATATATATATGTATATATATATATTTTTTTTTTCATTTGATTTAGTTTATTGTTTTTTTTTTTCTTACATATTAGTTAGAAAAAGGCACACTTTACTGTGTTTCTCGCAGCATCACAGCATCAAGCATCAAACTCGGTGAAACTCCACCTGTTACATAAACACAAAGACACATCGTGATTGTGTTCGTTATATACTGTATTTGTTTTAGTGGCTTAAAGGGTTAGTTCACCCAAAAATGCAAATTAGCC